AAGGGCAAACCACTTCTAGAAAGCCTTGCCAAGAAAACTGCAGGGACTAATCCAGGCAGTCACCAATTGCCTAGTCAAAACTGACTTGAAGGCACCAAAAACAAAAAATCAGTAGAATAAGCACAAATATGGCTATCAAATCTGGGCTGTAAATATCCAGAAGGGTGCCAGAAGGAGCAAAGAGAGTGTTTGTATTTCTTTGTTATCCACAAATAACATCCAGGGTTTTACAGCCTTGAACAGGTTGCCCTAGACATAACACATTTTACCCCATCCCCCAAAAAAGACCCTAGCATATCCCTTCGAGATGGAGAAAATTCCACACAAGTGATATGGTTCCATTTACTTCTCACCATCATTCTGTTTATTCCCTCTCACTGGCCCACCTACTTTATATGCTGTTTTTAGAAGTTCTTCAAAGTGGCTCACTTTGTTAAGAAATACAAAAATTGAACAATATAATAAAATAAAAGCTTATTCAACCAAATAACCAATAGCATATTTAAAATAGTATAATCTGGAAAAAGGCTATTTTCAAGTTCCCCTTTTATCTCTATTAAATGAAGATGTGCCACCTTTTCAAACATATCGTTTTAGGGTTTGTATGAAGATTTCTACAACCCCCAAAAAGATTTCTTTAAATGTTTTAGGAAGATATCCATCCCCACAACTCAAAGTGGACAAAAATCACAAATATTATTTATTGTACAATAGTATCTAACTGTTGTCCTGTGGATTTCTGCCTGGCTGAAATTATTGCTACAAGAAACTCCATCTCAAAAACTGCCATTTTTGACAAATATAAAGGTGAAATATAATTAGAAAGGCTAATATTGCAACTTTAGTGTTAGACCAGAATAAGTCTTTCAGCTGAAATTATTATTTTTTTCTACTTTAATTAGCAAAGAACTCTAAGAATCAACCTGTTGCTTATTACTGAATTATTTCTCACATACTTTGAAGCAAAAGCTGATGGCTTGTCAGTTCTAATTTCTACCTCAGTCTGGGTATCTTTTCTGTAGTGTTATAATGTCCTAATTTTACAACTTTATACTGCATATGCATGCTAAGTAAGACAGCTTATTTATATACTGTTTTTCAACAAATGACACTTTATCCTTTATGTCACACCAAAATACAACAGCTCTTAATTAACCAACACTATATAGAATCTACAATAGTCTCACCTGAAAGAAAAAAAACAGCAGCAGCAGCTTGTTTCAAAGACAGGCCAATAAAAAATTAGCCCCTTTGGAACTTCTTCAAAATTAGACCAGTTACAAATTCACTGAGGCGAAGAACCAATCAGAAACGGGCTTTCCAGAATTCCAATGACATGGTCCAGTTAAGAGATTAGTTCTGTTACAAACCCAAGAGCTCAGTCAGTTCCTGCTCAGTTGCCTGTGAGCTGCCAAGAAGTGCACTACTGAGCAGATCACTTTCATCTCTGAAGATGCAGGCCACAGTTGCTGGCAAAACATCAGGATGCCAGATAATTAGACCATGGCCTATTAGCCTGGAAGCTCATCACCACTGGATTGATGCTGGCTGTGAAAGCCTGCATTGATATACCCCATAATTGGCTTTCTTGGAGTCCTCAGCCAGATCAAGACAATTTGGGAACAGCTTAAGCTGTTTAAAGTGTTAATTATTACAAACAACATCTTGAAAGGAAGTTGGAAAACAAATGGCAATTAGTGAAGATTTTGAGGTTTGCTATATTAAGCACCAAGTTGATGTCTTAACTGCCACATTTTGCATTTATGGAAACTTCTAGATATTCCTCAAGGTTAGCCTAAATAAAGTCTTGACATGATCAAGCCAAGGCCTGGATAACTACTCTTATACCAGACTGATTTAGAAATGGCAACAGTTGGCATGAACTTTGCATAAGCAACTGTGCATAAGCATCTGTGGGTTCAGGGATTGGATAGCATCAAGAAGTACTCCCAGTTATGAACTCAGGGGGAGTTTGACCTGTTTCAGAATAGATTGAATTCCAGTTCCCAAGCCATCTCTCTCTTTTTTAGATATAAACTTGTTCATTTTCATCAAGCTGTATCAAATCCATGCAATGATCAACAATATTATTATTTTATTCAATTTTGGTGGCACCCAACTCCAGACTGACTCTGGACAGCTGACAATATAAATAAAACACAATAAAAATATAATGGAATAATAAACAAGATAGAGAATCCAGACAACCACCAAAACATATATAATGGGCTGACAACATATGAAAACATATGTCAAGCACATCCAACATAGGGCTCCATTCACCCTACACCAAAACCTGGGAAAATAGCCAGGTTTTTAAGGCCTTCCACAACACCATCAGGATGGAAACTATCTGGATCTCAGGGGGAACCTCATTCCAGGGGCAGGCACCGCAACACAGTTCCTGGGTCCCAATAGATGATTTAACTGAGTGGAGCATGATCACTCTGTCAACTCATATTGGCCAGGCAGAAACCACAAGAGATAGGCAATTCCTTAAATAACCAGGTCCTATATCATGTAGGATTTCATGGGCATTGACCATGACTGGACAATGATTCAATGATCTTGAATCACACCTGGAAGCGTGTTGGCAACCAGTGCAGTTCATGAAGATGAGGTGTCACATGACCATAGCGAGATAAGGCCACCATTGCCTGTGCCGCCGCTTTCTGGACCACTTGAAGCTTCCAAATGTTCTTCAAAGACAGCCCCATGTAGAGCACATTGCAGTAGTTGAGCCGTGAGATGATTGCACAAGTAACTTTCTGAAGGGCCTCCCAGTCCAGGAAGGAATGCAACTGGTATAGGTTTGCGACTGCCAATGCCCTCGTGGCCACAGCTGCCACCTGCTCTTCAAGCAGGAGCTGTGAATACAAGAGGACAGTACCTGCTGGGTGTGTTTTTGTTTTTGTGTTTTTGGAGTTTGATAACAAAAAGTGGTAGATTTAAGAATTATCAAATATTAATAGCACCTTATTTCAAACTTCCTCTGGATGACTTATCCAGTGATCTCATTTCATTTTTTGTTTTAATTTAGACAGTCAAAGTAAGATAGTACAGGCCAGTGGGCTAGAACAATCACTGTCAGGTTGGAGCCATTGTCCACTTAAATAACTCATTGATCTCTGGTCTTCTAGATCAGTGTTTCTCAACCTCAGCAACTTTAAGACACATGGACTTCAACTCCCAGAATTGAGAAACACTGTTCTGAATGATTAATCAATTAAGCTTTACGTTGTGCAGTTATGTTGAGATGGAGTGTTAACTAGTTGTGTACCTATTATTTTTGCTTTATTTTGCTTTTAACTGATTGTTTCCATTTAGTGTTTATTTTTGGCAGTATTTAGCTGCATATTGCCTTGAGGAATATAAAATTGAACTCTACCTTATCATCCATTCAATACATTTTTTTTTCTCATTCCCTCCTGTTTGTGTAATGACAGTGAACACAGCCAAAGACAGCATTAGAAATAGCCAAGAGCCCAGTTAACAAGCAACCTTTCCTGCCTAAGGATGTAGATCTTTCATTATCTGAGATCTTAGAATAATAATGTTTGTAATATTGTATTAATTGACTAAATATATGGTTGTAATCAACTAACATACTAATTAAGTGATGCAAAGCCCTACTTTAAAGGAAACGTACAGCCGTTGCATAAAACACCCAGCTTGGTTCATGGGCCACCTGAGTTCCCTTCCTCAAGTGTGACTTTTTGCAGCTAATTTCTGCCTGATGTGGGCAATTTGCTATA